GTAATAGACTTGTTTTGATTGATTCTTTATCAAAATTACCTAATAAAATTTTATCCATTTCATCTCTAGATGCGAAGTAATTCACTCTCATTTACACTTTTTCTACAATGAGCGTGATTCATCTCCCATTGGCTGGAAGTTCTGCATGTGGAGATACACTTATTATGTTCTAGTTCTGAGATTTGCTGTTACAGAACTCGATGCTTGATTTGCACTCTAGATAGAGGGATTACTGATGATTCTAGGTACCTCAATTCATGTTTTGTGGAAAGTGCATGATATTCTATATTATGCTGATTATATCTCTGTTGAAGACATTAGATTTAATTAATTTCCTTTGCATGTTTGATGTGAGTAACCTTTAGAAAAGATGAAAGTGTTTTGTTACACTAAAGACCTAACCATTAAGAGTAGAAAGCTGTCTTTGCAATTTAGGGGAGGAATTGAGTAAGATAAAAATGATAAAAGAAATAAGGATGTAAACAAAGATTTTTCCCCCTTTATCTTCCTACTTATCCAAGATGAAAAAAAAAATCTGTACTTGAATAGTTTATCTTTTGAATTTCAGAACATTTGTTGGTACCCTTTATATCAATTTATTGTTTTATCATTTTTTCCATTGTAAGGGTAAAATAAGTAAATATGGTTAAGAAAAAATATAAGGTTTATCTTAATCTTAGAGTACCTTTCTAATATTTCTGTGACAATTTAGATGTAGGGACCCCTTACAGCAAGTGCTGTATATTTCATTCACCAAAGACTACAGAAAATGCTCTTTGTCACAGTTACTAGTCAGAGAATAATTACTATATTTAATTTTGTATACTTTTTCTCAGTATGGCTATTTATATGGTTTACCATAGTGATGGTAATGATGATACTAGTATACTTATTACTTCAATGAATTTGTCATTTTGTTGTTGCACATAAACTTATTCTTTTAGGTAAGTTTATGTGCATGGTTTCACTTTTACATATGGTCATTGATAGTAGATAGATAAAGAATGTGTTTGCTGAAGCTGATGTGACAGAGGTGAAAGGTCACAAATTTGTTACAGTTTCACCTACTGTGGTCAGCAAACAAACTTGCTGTCTGGAGAGAGCTATTAGATGCTAGATAATGTTTGAGTACCCATACAAGCTTTCTAGTAGGTTGTTTGCTGCCTACAAACTTACAGGTGTATGGGTTTACTGTGTATTTAACAGGTGGACCATACAGTACAGTATTGTAAAGATTATGGTGTGAACATAGTCTTAGAATTGAAGAATAAAAATGAACTTGTAGTAGTATGTCGTATTTGGAAAGAGATGATTATTTGGATAAAAATAGAATTAGTGTGATAATTCTTTTTCATCTGTCTTGAAGTAACAAAATTACATCCAAAAGATGTCAACTTGTCAAAGTATAAACTAATAGTAGATAAATTTGTATATTTATAATATTTTGCAATGAAAGTGCAAAGGCAATGTGTTTGAAATATATGACATCACATATTGACTTCACCACTAGCATCTCTTATTAACAAAATACCATGTCAGTTGTAGTTCATGTAAGATACTATGTACTTTTTTTAAAATTTAAGAATGAATCATTTTGCAGGGTGAAATGATCTTCATTTCTGTGTAGATGTGATTGTGGTAAACTTATTTCATAGATTTTTTTCTTACTTAAAAGAAAAAATTGTATTCAGCATTTTTACATGTGCCTTTCTTTTCTGGTGTTTATATTTAAAAAACAGAATTCAGATGTTTTCATTTGCCTTAAGAACTCCTCTTGCCATAGGGAGCTTCATACACCAAATGATTTACAAGGAGAAATTAGTGGGATAGGAAAGATAATTTCCCTTCCATCTGTGATTTTGACTGCAACATGTACGACTCTCTAGTGAATGAGGCTAAAAGTGGTGTTGAGAGGCTAAAGCTCCTAGATTTCTACAGTACTGACAAAACAAGCTAACTGTTTAGTACACACAACTTGGATTGGGCACATGTAACATGCTGTGTGATGTATTTACATACCACCTGTTGGTAATGGGTTAAGTGTCCTTGTAATTTGTGTTTTTATGACCATTTATTATATAAGGTAGAAATGTGAAATTATAGAAGAATATGTTATTTTTCTAAGATGATCAGATTAACAAAAGGTAAATTTCAAAATAATAGTTTATATGTCCATGATTTCATTGGATAATTCATCTCACTCATTGTTATGTGGTAGGGGTGTCATGTTACATGTGTAGAGGAGAGTTGTTGATATCTTGCACCCTAATGAAATGCAAAAGTGAACAAATATGATAATGTTTTGTTATTTGTTTTATTGTTGCTTGTTGAATTGTCTGATGTTGCTTTTCTCCCAGACAGATTTTATGGTTTAATCTCTTCAGTTTGTCCTACATTATCGAGGAATTATCTTTGTAATAAGAGTATATTTTCTGATGCTGTTATGTTTTTGTTTTTTTTCTTGCAGTATTATACATTGATTCATCTTTTTCATAGAACATTAACTTTTCCAGAAAGATAAGATATGTCCAAGTCAGAGAGTAATTCTGATTGTCCTCCAAGAAAGCAGCCTCGCCTTGATTGTGAAATGGATGAGAGTCGGGGATCATGTGGGAGTGAAGACAGTCCAGGGAAGGAGGAGATCACGAGGGCCTGGCCCACAGGTAAATCTTTTCTTTTCTCTCTCTCTCTCTTAAACTCCCTTTCCCATATCCAGATCTGTCACACAACATGTGTTCTAGCAGCTTTACTAATTGTATTATTGATCTCTGGTTGACAGTGCTGAATTCATACTTGAAATAGCTAGAAGATATTCAGCTATCTCCAGACTTGCTCCTACTGTGATAAAATGAAAATACTTGAGATGCAGCCATAAGTTTTCTTTAAGAACTAGTCTGTAGTCACAGATTTCAGTAGTATGAAAAGCAGAAAAATAGTGGAACTGGGAGACTTCTTATCTTTTTGTGCATCAAGAATTCCCAAAAACTTTGGCCCATAATTACCTGCATTGCTATAAAGATGCATAATATCAGTGATTATATATAAGGTATTCACATGTGTGTGTCACTATTGTCCTGTCAATGAATGTATGTACAGTATTCACATATGTATGTCTTCCTATTGTCCTGCTGTCAGTGGCATGCAGGGGGGGAGAGTGAAGGGGGGTGGCCATGGGCAACCAAATGGGATGGCTTCTAATCAGATAGGGAAATAAGATGGTGATTTTGAAATTTATAATTAAATTTAATCAAGTGTTCATTTCATGTTTATACGTTTACATATTCAAAGTATCTCCCGGTCTCATATTTCTCAATACTGGGCCCTTGTACTTGAGTCTTTGGGGCATATAATCAACGAGTCTGGGCATCACCAGACCTCTTCGTACTGCTGCCTTTTGTAAAGTTTTCTGTTATAGGTATTTCAGCTTTAAAGATTGATTTATGTTGCTTGACAGCTACTTCAGATCAAAAGGAAAGGATAAGTTGAAAAAGTATTGAGAATTGGTCATAAGAAAAAATTGTTGAGATGGAAACCCTGTAAAAAAAAAAATAATAAAAATAAACGCAAGCATCTTCCTCCTATGTGTGGATCAGGGTGGCTATCATGTCATAAAATTTGACTGGGGGCTGGGATGATATTGGTACTGCAGCCAAGGAGAGCAACCACATCCTTGTTAACACTTGTTGGGGGATCCTCCAGAACTGCAGGGTTTACTGGAGTGCTGAGTTCTGTGGTACCAACCATATGCTGGTTGTGGCTACCCTTTGGGCCCATTTCAAAACCCCCTGTTCTCAATTTATACCCTAGAGTGTTTCGACTGGACAGACTGAGGGGGAAGGAATGTTCCCGAAGATTCACAGCAGCTATCTCTAATAGAAAACCTGACAGATCCTGTAGCTCTGTGGGACTCCTCTAAAATACTTGATGTAGCTCAGGAGTCTATTGGTGAATACCCGAGATCAAGGCAGAACTTCATCTTGCAGAATACACTGGCAACCACAGATGTATGTTGTGTGGGTTGACTGAATGGCAATCTGGTTTTGCAACATTCCTTGCTGCACAGGACTCATTGTTGAGAAGGGACAAAGAACAGTATATGAGGAGTCTTGCTGAAGAGGTTGAAGGTCATTTCTTAAAAGGATCTATGTCCTGCCTATCAAGCCCAGAGAAAACTAAACTCCAAGCCCCCCCCCCCCCACACACACACACACACACACACATACACACACACACACTCACAGATGACTGCTGTCCGCTCAGTGGATAGACGGATCATATCAAATAATGTTGGGGTTTGGGAATGTTGAGCTGAGCACTTTGAGCTGCTGTACCAGGTTAACCCTCCAGCAGTTAGCGTGGATGCAAGTTGCATTGCAATCCCTGTGCTGGATCCACCCATCAGCAAAGAACCTCCTAGCCTGACTGAGGTTAGGGAGGCTAAGCTAAAGGGTGTCAAAGTGGCAAGCATATGTAGCAACGCTGCTGAACTACAAAAGGCTAATGTGAACCTAGGTGTGGGGCTTGCATTCTGTCCTGGCTGCCATCTGGTAGTCTGCTACCATTCCCCCTGACTGGATGAGGGGTGTTGTCATCCCTCTCTGGAATGGGAAAGGGAATTGTTGGGACTGCAGCAACTCCCATGCAAAATTAAGAATGGTAGTGATGAATAATAACGTATGGAACAGTATTGAATTGAATTACCTGATAAATACTTTGGAACAGTGTTCTAATATATCAGAAATTCTTTTCAGCATTTTTAGACTTCTTTGTATTGTCATAAGTGTTTTTGCTTCAGTAATACAAGCATATTTTAGTATATTACCATTTTTTTTATTTTAGAAATAGGAAAGTATTGTATTTACTTGACACATTTGATAGGGCATATGTTGGAATGGAAGCAGTTTTGCTTAATAGTAATTCAAATTAAAACTAAATGCTAGATATAAGGACTGTGTTATTCTTATTTGTTTTCTTGTTTTTCTTTCCACAGCAAGTTTAACAAGAGCATCTGGTGGCAATGATGTTTTAGCAGATCCACGCTATGAGGGATTCCAGCTGTTGGATGAAGTACATGATGGAGATGATGATGACAATGATGAACCAGGTTTTGTTAATTTGTTCACTTTAGATTATAGGGTAGAATTCATAAATCATTTTTGTTCAAGATTTCTTGTTTTTTTATAAACTTTCTTAGAAGACGACGGTATCACCTTATGAGACCTGCTTGACATTTTTTTTTTTTTAAGTGTAGAATAGGGGAAGCATTTTATTTAGTTTTGAAGTGAGCTAAGGTTACAAATCTAGGAAGATGAATGATATAAAGCATTTCAATCCAAAATGTATGAGAAAGAGTATATTTGCTCAAAACTTGTTTAATTATTTCTCAAAATTTTACCTTTCATTTCCAGATGGACAAGATTCAGAGGAGGATTATGAGTATGATTCAGAAGTACCTGAGGAGGAGATTGATGCCCTGCTGGAGGAGGGCTTGCCTGAAGAGATGAAAGGGCCAAGAAAAAGGAAAAGAGAAATGGCACTTGGAGAAAATGATGAGAGCCCCTATGATGAAAGAGAAAAAGTGGTATTGGTTGGTAAGTTCAGTACCGGGGCAGGTGATCATCGCTTGAAACAAATTTTCAGCAAATTACTGACTTTTAAATTATTTATTTTTCTAGGGTACTCTTATTTAGATTACTAGATTAAAAAAAATATATTATTGAAAAAAAGGGAGAGTGGATAGTGTTTGCTCCTGAAGTAGCCAAAAGAACATTGATATTTGGAAATATGTCACTACAATAGGGAATTATTTTATTCTAATACTGCTGTGAGATTTTGCATTTGCTCTGCAGATGTATCAAATCAGTCAGTGACAGAACTAATAAACATTATTTCATTGAAATATCCCGCTGTTGTAAAATACATGTGTGAAGATAGACATGTGCTCACTTACAGATATATATTGCAGCAATAGAGATAGTAAAGGATTATGGTTGGATATTGATGTGTATTTACACTTGGTATTATCCAGACCTCTCAACAATGAATTAGCTATACCATAACTTATTGCCTCTCACTAAAATCCTTTTCAAGTTTAATTAATTATCTGTGTATATTAATCTTTAGTCTTAAGTTTCCTAAACTTTTCCTTGATGAGACTAAGCAAAATCAGACTTGATTTTACTAAAGCTGGTGTTATTGGACTTGTTTAAAGTATTGAAATATGATGTATCACAAGTTACTATACTCTGTCATTCAGTCCACTTTGACACTGTATTATATATATGCCATACATTGCAAGACTTTACTGAGATATAAACTGTGCCATGTGACAGCATACTTTATACTGCATAAAATAGGAATGTCTGAGTGTTGATATTGGTTAAAAAGGAGTATCAGGGTTTAAATTTTTCCCTTTCACTTTCAGAAAAAGGAAATAGTCACTTTGAAGTACTACCAGAAGGATGGGTTCAGGTGACACACAACAGTGGAATGCCTGTTTATCTTCATAAACAGACAAGAGTTTGCACAATGGCTAAACCTTATTTTTTAGGACAAGGTAGTGTCAGGGTAAGCACTTTGCAAGCATTTCTGTCTGCCATTGCTTTAACAAGGTGTATGCATTACTACATACTAGTGAAATAAGAATATCACAAGTATTGATAATAAGACGTAGGAGAAAGGATTATTTTCTTATGCATTTGTATTTGCACAAAACCTTTGTGTGCTTTTATAGAATTCTTGTTTGCATATCAGGACTCAAAATTAGGAGTATTTATGCATGTATTTTTTCAGAAACATGACATACCCCTCAGTGCTATACCTTGTCTCCAGTACCTGAGAGCTCTAGCAGATGAGAAAACAAGCAGTCAAGAGAGTAAAGAAACCAGTGAGAAGGAAACCTCGGAAGGGGAAGAGAGTCAGCAAAGCAGGCCTGGAATCGGCATGAATGCAAGTCAGGTTAGCTTCAACATTTTTCGTAAAAGTTTTGACCATGTAAAATTAAATCTAGGAAAGACTCGTTTTCTTGAATCATCAATAATATTATGCTCACAAATGAAATCAAGTTGATTACTTTTTGTGTAACACCAATTTATCATCTTCAAAAGGGAGTATTTTGTATTTTAAAAAATTAAACAAACAACAGGTGGACGATCAATTGGGAGTCATTGAGAATGGGATAGACGCTGTGAAGGCGACATCAGTTAGCAGAGCCACATCATGTCCGGTGACTGGCGGAAGTTTGGCAGCTGCTTTGGCTCTCAATACAAATAAGGAAGGTGTGCATTATTTCATTTTGTTTCACAGTGGAAGGGACTGTAAACTTCTTGTGCCACACCCATTTTATGAACAGAGAAAGGAACTTCCAAGTACTGTTAATGGGTAGGCTTTTAAAGGACATGACAATGCATTTATTTTTCCTTATTTATGCAATATTGCTTCAACGTCATTTCCTTTTTTGATTTCATAGGTAATGAAGATGTGTAATTGTATCCTATTATTAGTATTATTCTCAGTCTTGATGCCACAATTATAATTGTTATTGCTTTCATTTATAATATATTACCAGTGTTACAAAATTGCACAGGTTGTTTGCAAGATATGGGTATGTTCTTTTCATTTTGTAAATGTTTACTTAAGTGTGCTTTTCATTGTTATTTCTAGGTGTCTGCATTTGTTATTCCTTTATTGATACTGCTTTATGTTTTGTTAATAACATTGTTGATAAATGTACTCATCTTTTTTCTCTCTCTCTAAATTAGGTTGGTCATAATTTAATACAGTATTGTCAGTAATTTTAAGAATGAAACTTTTCTATTGGCATATCTCATTGGCTCATTTGTTTATTCTATTCCCTGAACTGAATTGAACTGAACTTCCTGTGTTGATAGGAGGTGCCCCGCCTGCTGGGTTGATGGTAGGCAATGCCAAGATAGAGACAGCGGTGGAAAATCTGCAGCAGCAGTCTTTGGACGAACTTGAAGTCAGGGAATACTGCAAGAACCGATTTCTTTTTAAGAGCATTAAGATTATTAGGTTCAAGTGAGTGCTGAAAATTATTTTTCTCTTATAAATTGAGAAGTAAGGATTAATATTATAATATGTTTTAAATTAATTTTTTGAGCTGAGTTGATATTGAAGTTAACATATCTGTAGAAGAAATTTCATATTTTTTGTTTCCACTTTTTTTTTATGGAGGGTGTAGCATTTTTTAAATTTATATTGTATATTTGTGTAAATGTCTTCTGATAAAGATTTTAAATTAAAGATCCTGGGCAGAAAGAAGAAGTTTCCAGAAGATGAGCAAGAAAAAAGATAGACCGCAACTCCCAGAAGGAACTAAACTTATATCCCTTAGGAGACAAGGTGAGAGCCATAGAGGACTGAAAAGCTGCATAATATGTCCCTTGAGATGTATGGCTACTACTGTGGTTCAACTGGTCCTCTCTTCGTCTGTGGCCTGACTTGTATCTGAGTGCCCAACCAGGCATAGCGTTTCAACTGCGAAAAGCACTGCCATAATAGACCGCACATGCCTCCCACTTTAATAACACCGCACATAGTGCTTCTTGTTTGACCATCATGGAGCACAAGGACTTATTTCCTATTTCACCATAGTTTCGGGTTTCATGGTGTATATTTTTTGAAGAAAGAAGCACGGAAACAGATTTACAGATTCAAAATATTATCACTAGTCATATGGACCATCGATGCAAGTGTAGATCCTGCTTCAAATTAGCCATTTCTTGTTTATTTGTTTTTTGTAATAAAAAATGGATTTTGTGATTATTAATTCTAAATGTTTTATATAAAATTCTCTGATATAACTTTTGTTGACTTTATATTGATATTGATAATTTCTTTAAGCAAATTGCAAACAATAATTCTAAATTGCACCCTGGAAAGCCCAGAAATATCTGAGGAGAAACACGGTCACCATCGTGTTATCACTGGCTTCCCTCAGCCCCCAGATTTTACACGAAAGTGACCGATTTGGCCCAGAAAGCCACACTTATAGCCAGACCTGTGCGTAAACAAGATCAGTTGAACTGTGCCTTTACCATTCCAAAGACATTTTTTGTTGGAAGTTAAATGTTGTGAAGAGGCTTTTGTTGTTTATGTGTTGTTGTGACATTCACCTATACTTATTTCCTGTTCAAAGGGAATAAGTATAGGTGAATGCAGGTAATGAGATCTCTTTTTTTCATGAACTCCATGAGCGGCTATATTTTCTTGCCATGGATTTTATTTTGTACATGATTAAATGCATCACATGAAATCCCATTCTCCTGCTTGTAATGCTCATTATAAGACCGTCATGATATAATACAGGAAAATTGTTGTCATGGAAGTAAGGTAGTAATATGATAAGATATAATGAACTGCAATATTAAGCAACAGGTGTATATTATGTGAAAAGTACATCCATGAAGAATGCCTTATCAGTCTTTGAAGTTGGAATGTTAGCAGAACAAAAGGATTTATATTACTTTAGCATTAGTTGCTTTATAGGCCTATACATGGTAATAGTTTGATACTGTGAATAATCTTCTAGACATGACATGTTGAAATGATGATAGTGGCTACATTGCATTTTAAAATGTGATTGTATGACATACATATATTCATGAACTTTAGAAGAAACTATGAAATGATCTCTTTTTATGCAATATTCTTTTCTTTAACAGAGGAGGATGGTGTTCCAGCAGCCAGCAGTAAGAAGGAGTGGATTATGAATCCCAAAGGAAAGAGCTATGTGTGCATTTTACACGAGTATGTGCAACATGCTCTTAAAAAACAGCCAAAGTATGTCTTCAAAGAAGTAGGTAAGCGGAAATGTTTGCTTGTTTGGCCATCACTGAAGTGATTGAGGAGTCACAGCCCCTTAAAAGTAGGCTTAGTAATTTTTTAGCCTTGCCTTATGGGAAATTGTATATGCTGCAGCCAAAATTGTAGCATGTGGGGAAATTACAAGTTTCCTGTCCTTAAAATTTTCCCCCTTGAGTGGCTTACTGTGGGCAATGTCTGGTGCTTGGTTAAATATGGTGCAGCTGTTAGGATTGGGTTAACCCAACCATATGTTTTAGAAATTTTTTTTTTTTCTAAATGTTTGTAGAATGGTGTTAATTTGCAAATTTTGGAAATAGGTGTTTAAGTGTGCTAATTTCTTTTATGCTGAAACTTTTTGCTAAAAAGAAAATGAAGAGAGTGCAATATTTGCTTAAACATTTTGCCATCTTGACGGATATAAATTGATTTGAAATGTCTAAACTGATAATTTGACCCAAAACGTAGTTGTGCAAGACTTTAATGACTGATGTGCAGTCACTATGTCATATCTTAAATGATTATAATAAAGATCAAAAGAATACAAGGTAAAAATTAGCCTAAGTATCATATGACAAGGTAATAACTAAGATATGACAGTGGAAATTAAGTCAATTATTCTAAACATCTCCGTTTGTATATGCCTAAAAGAATTTAATTGAATGACATAAATCAGCTGTCAGTGATATTAATGATTTTGCTATATGTGTGTTTATTTGATTTGTATATGAATTTATGTATGTAGTTTTTTAATACATGTAACATGTAATGTAATATATGCATTCTTACACAGATAGTGACACTGATATTGCTAATCAATATTGCTTACTCTTCAGAGAATGCTGCCACACCATATGCTGCCACCATCATCATCAATGACATGCACTACAGCACAGGTTATGGTAGTAGCAAGAAGCAAGCAAAAACAGAGGCAGCTAAAGCAACACTAGAAATCCTTCTTCCTGAGTTGGGTGAAAAGATCCGGGAGGAATCAAACACTAAGGGAGATGCGGATTTGTCTGTAAGTTCCATTTTTGTGGTAACTTGTAAGGATAATTGTGCCTTTGGCATATTTTGTTTTACGAGAGAAGTGTCATTGTGAAGCCATTTTTCCTTTCTTTCTTTGATTCTAGTTATTTTTATTAATTACATGTATTTTCCTTCCAGTTCTTTGATGAAATTCGCATAGAAGACCCAAGGGTACCAGAGCTCTGCAATAAAACAAGTGAACTTTCCCCCTATTCAATTTTACTCAACTGTCTTCAGAGAAACTTTGGTCTTAATGGTGCCAATATAGAGTCCAGATTAGTCACCCAGAAAAATCAGAAGAACGAGTTTGTGATGACAGTTGGAAAACACACTGTGCAGGTCCAGTGCAAGAACAAGAAGGATGGGAAACAGAGAGCCTCACAAGCTATCCTTCAGGCATGTTTTATTTTCTTATCTTTTTAAAATATTGAGCCTCTTTTACTAGACCATGTGTCTGCTGTCCCTGATATTGGGCAAACAGAGTGCTAGTTGAAATGTTGATTTTCCTCTCTACATTAGTGTAATGCATCCTTTTCAGTTAAAATGGGAGAAACATATACATTAAAATATTATTTTTATTTAATGTTAACATCAAGATTTCACCCCCTAAACATTACACTACTGAATCAATTTGTCTAACTTATCCAATGTAATTCTGCAGAAACTCCACCCACATATCAGCAGCTGGGGCTCGTTACTAAGGTTATATGGTAACCGGTCAATGCAGACTATGAGAGAAAAAAAGGCTGAGGAACAAGAAATCACCTTACTGCAATCAAATGCCACTGTGAACCAGCCAAACACCTCCATCATAAACAAACTAAAGCTGGAGATGCTCAAACTGCAGGAAATGAAGGTAAGGCAATCTCTCTCAGAACCAAGTGGATGATATAAATGACACTGAAAATAGTCAACCATGCACTCTCTAGGATATGTTTGAACTTGATCTGTTTTGTTTTTGTTTTGTTTCCAGAACTCCATTCAACCAATTGGAAGATTCCTCCCTCCCGAAGATGTTGCCCTTCCCTCTGCTTCAGGAATCGATCTTAATAATGTTGATCTATAAAGGAAATAATTTATCTTTCTATTTTATGATGTGAATGTGAGGGTAATTACTTGAGCTGTCTCCAAGTTATGAATGTATGTACCAGTTTTTTATTAAACTTTTTATCAATGATATTGAAAAAAAGAAATGTGATATTAACACAAGGTGCCCACCCTTATGCTGTGATGAACAAGACCATAAAATTGCCTGTGATATACAAGTGCATGAAGTCCCAAGTTTGTTTTACAGGTAGCCTATCTATTTTTTATCACAGATGCCAGTGATTTCTGTACTTAATAGAGCAGCTGACTCATACTGTTAAATCAGATAACAGATCTCACTTTCATGTTTTTAACCATGTTGGAGTTATGCAGAAATATAACTGAATGAAAATATGTGGAAAACAACGTTCCAGTTACATGCGGTCTTTCACTTTTTCCATATCATGCTATTATGATAGTTGTTCTCTGTGCACATCATTTGCCCCATGTTTTCAGTTTAGAATAAAGAAAATGCTTTAAAAAGAGACCAAACTAATCAATAAAAGAAGTAATTATTTCAGTGTTTTACTTTTTTCCCAAATGAACACATATTGTATGTT